AGGCATGAAAGCAGATGGATGACTTTGGGTCAATGACCAGGAGATGGTGAGTTGTAGTCCTGCCTTAGTTCTGAAAGCCAGCTGGCGACCTTGGGCCAGTTAACTCTCTCTCGGCCCGACTTACCTCACAGGGTTGTTGTGGTAGGGAAAACAGGAGAAAGAAGTATGTGGTATATGTTGAGTTGTTTATAAAACAAATAAAGGATGGATATAAATAAAGACTGTAAGTAAGTAAATAAAAATAAAAGGCAACTGATTCCTCAGAGAGCTTCCTTTTGTGTCATGAAAGGCCCATTTCATGACAAGTGAATTCAGAGATGAATGCATGATGTTGCAAACCCTTTATGGTGAGGGTTGATGAACGAGAAGAACTCTTGCGCTATTTTTGCCTTCTGTAGACTTTACTGATTAGACAGAAAAGGAAATTTGTCTAGCAGATCTCCTTCTCCTCTTCTTCCTTCGTCTCCTCTATCTCCTCCTTTTCTTCTTCCTTTCTTCCTCCTCCTCTTCTTTCTCCTTCTCCTCTTCCTCCTCCTTCTCTTCCTCTCTTCCTCCCTCCTTTCTCCTCCTTTTCTTCCTCCTCCTCCTCCTTTTTCCCTTCCCCTTCCTCCTTCTCTTCCTCCTCTTTCTCCTCCTTCTCCCTCCTACTCCTCCTTCTCCCCTTTTCTTCCTCCTCCTCTCTTCCTCCTTTTTTCAAATTGCTTTTGACTTTCTTCCCATGTAGGAAGCGTGTGTTTCAGAAACGCTGGGTGAAGTTTGATGGTGAAAGCATGGCTTATTATAATAATGACAAGGTAAGTCTGTCGCGTTAAATAATACATATTCTACTCTGAGCAAATTATTAGTCTGGATGTAGCCGTAGACAACTGCTTAAACATAGATTCTGGGTAGCAGGGTCACTTATGGTCTGATCCTTATTCTCCATGAAGGTACAAGGCAAGCTATTAGATGTAGGAAGTAAGGAGATATGCAGGGATCATTCCTTGATGGAAATATGCAGGGATCATTCCTTAGCAAAAGCATTTTTAATTCCACCACAAAACAACATTCAGAAGTGGCTCAGGCAAATCCTTCCCTAATTCACTGCAGTATAAGAAGGAGAAGATAGAACACCATAAGACTTTCCAAAGTCTGTTATTACCGCCAATTTCAATAAAAATAGTTTTAGGCTTCCCATGAAGCTGATTTTCTTCCCTTCCCTTCCCTTCCCTTCCCTTCCCTTCCCTCCCTTTTTCTAAGAATGGAGGATTTGGGAGCTGGTAAAAGGAAGAGGAAAAGGAATGGGGACACAGTGGCTCAGTGGCTAAGATGCTGACCTTGTCGATCAGAAAGGTCAGCAGTTCGGAGGTTCGAATCCCTAGCACTGCATCATGGAGTGAGCTCCCGTTCCTTCTCCCAGCTTTTACCAACCCAGCAGTTCGAAAGCAGGTAAAAAATGCAAGTAGAAAAATAGGGGCCACCTTCGGTGGGAAGGGAACAGTGTTCTGTGCGCTTTTGGCATTTAGTCCTGCCGGCCACATCACCACAGAGGCATCTTCAGACAGCACTGGCTCTTCGGCTTTGTAACGGAGATGAGCACCGCCCCCTAAAGCCAGAAACGACTAGTACATATGTGCAAGGGGAACCTTTACCTTTAAAAGGAAGAGATCGTGGATTTCAAAAAAATCTTGTAAGTAGACAGTGACTGCAGTTCCAGATCTAGTCAGCAGATGCCTGTAGATGCCAGGATATAATTTCTGGATGAAAAAAAACAGCTATGAATTTTGCAACAGAGTCAGATCATTCTGGTGAAATGGAGTGACGCTTCCTCTGTGGCAATACGATTGAATGTAAGCAGGCATGGATTTAACCACAAGAAATATGGCAGTCAAACCGACCAGGGTTTTTGTGTAACTGTACAAAAAAAATGCACGGGAAATAAAACACTCTTTGTGGTAGGAATCTTTGGACCATGTGTCTTGGTTTCTTTTTCTGTTGCATGGGATATATAGTTAGTCCTCGACTTATTATCTAGTGACCTTCCAAAGTTACAACATCACTGAAAAAGCAAGTTATGGCCATTAAGCTCTGCTTGCAAAAAAATAATAATAATATGAAGGCCAGTTATCATTTTTGACAGGAAAAAAATAAATCTTCTTTTTGGTCAATCAAGCTTTTGGAACAGAAACAGAAGTTGTGGTCGCTTGGCTAGGAATGGGTAGTTTGCCTTTTGGTGAAGAGACATCATGCTTTTCTTTTGCTTTTGACATAGGACATCTACTCCAAGGGCATCATTCTTCTGTCTGCGATAGCTACAGTCCGGATGCACAGAGACAACAAGTTTGAAGTGGTGACAGCACACCGAATATTTGTCTTCAGGGCTGAGAAGGAAGGTGAGCCTCATTTCCAAGGGTTCCTTTATGGGCTGCAGAGAATTTGATTCTCTTTCACATCAGGGGCGCCAAATCTTGACAATTCCCGGAACAGGAAAAGCAGAAACTTCTAGAATGATAGCATGGGATTGAAATCTTCCATAAGATGAATAAATAAGGAGAATTGTATACATTGGTTCCCTTAGTAAAGGGGTCAGTATTTTCTTTCTTCTGTAAATCTGACAGTTCTTCCTAAACACAAAGCACAAAGGCCAAGATTGTATGGTATTTGTAATGTTATGAAGGAGATCCAGTCAATATTTCATGCGATGTTCTCTCCATCACTTTGGCTACTCCCCTTAAGAAATTAAAAATTGAACAGTCCTCTCTGAACATCACCTGTCTCCAGTCTACAATACAGTCCTTTCAGCAGTTGCAAGAAGGTTCCACACAGCCAGTTGCATTACTTAGGTGACGCAGAGGGCAGGGATGAACCTCCAAGTGATCTCAGTGACTCTCTAAAAGAGCGTAAATGACCAGCTGTCCGCAAGGAATATAAATCCTTCCTTCCCCACCATCCAGTCAGAGCTGAAGAAGCTTCTAGGGTGAGAAGTCTTCAAAGAATAGCAAGGAAGTCCAGTTGCCTTTTGAGAAAGCATGGAAGGATTTATATTCCTTGCAAACAGCTGGTCATTTGCATCCTTTTAGCAAGTCATTGAGGCCACTTGGGGGTTTATCTATCTTCTGATGAGCAATGTCCCTGGGGAAGCCAGATTCATTTAACAACTTTCTTACTAACTTAACAACTACAGTCATTCAGTTCATGAGTGTGGCAAGAAAAGTTGTTAGAAACGGGGCAACATTTACTTAACACACACAATGAAACCACCAGATTCACTTAACAAGCGTGTTTCCCCACTTTAATAACCTCAGTGTTTCACTTAACAATGGTTGCAGTGTCCCGGGGATCATGTGATCCCCTTTTATGATCTTCTGACAAACAAAAACAATGGGGGGGGGGGAAGTCAAGTTCACTTATCAACTGGTTACTAACGGATCTACTACGGCGAGTCGTTTAACAAGTATGCAGAAGAACAATGTCGTACAATGGGGGCCAAGCTCCCTTAACAACTGTCTCGCTTAGGAACGGAGCTGTTGGGGTAAAATGGGGTCATAGGTCAAGGACGCCCTGTATTTCAAGAAGTGTGAAGGGTGTATGGGTGGCAGCCTGCATGGATGTGTAGCACTGTGTCATTTTTTTGTGCACTTATTTTTAGAGGAACGGAACAACTGGGTAACTATGCTTTTCACTGCTCTCCGGTCCCTCCCGGCAATTTCCCGAGCACGGACAGCAGTTCCTCCAGAAAAAAGCGGCTATCTGGAATTGAAAGGCTATAAAACCAAAATCTTCACCCTGCTGCAAGGGAACAGCGTGTGGATTTGCAAGAACAACCAGGTATGCCTGCAATTTTCTTTCTTTCTTTTTCTTTCTTTTTCCCCCTGATGGCCCAAAATCCAAAGTGAGGTTAGTAAGGTCGCTGAGAAAAATTACGAAGCTTGGACTGATTCTATGGTGGGGCTGCAACTGGTTTAACAACCGGTTCTGCGAGCGCACGCTTCACGCGTGCAGGAGCATTCAGTAAATACCCATTGGTACCTCTCCAGGTCACCTTCTAACTTTGCCCGGTAAGTAGAACAGCTGAGGTGCGGTAATCGACATTGCTGCATGAATCAGCTGAGCTGCAAAAGAAGGAAATGTAAGACAGGATTGGGCAGGGGTGGGTGGGCAGGGCCAACTGATCGTCATTTGTACCAGTTCACTGGAACCGGTGTCAGTTTTGGAAGCCATATTGAGGTCAGATGCTCCCACACTGCCACATCTGAGCCTGAGTAAGTGGAAGGGGGGAGTATATCTAGTTAGACATAATAACATTCTTTTTCTGATTCAAGGTCACGTTGTGTTGCACATAAGTGAGAGGAAGTCTTAACTTGGGACGGATGGTGATTGGGCCATGTGATGTGATGATGGGTGCAGGGGATGGATTTTGTAGTTTTTTACTTATTGTAAGGAAGCCCGTAACTTTCAGATTCGGGATTCCCCAGTTGTGCCAGTTACTATCCAAATAAAAAGGAACCTTTGAGAAGATGTCTGTCTCGGAGTTATTGGGCAGAATGGAGGGTTGCTGGAATGCTGACAACCGGTCCAAACTGGCAGCAGCCCACCACTGGACTGATTGTGTATTTACAAAATGGTCTCATGCTCTCCAATTAGATTTTTTTGGGGCAGAAGCTTTAGCCATCTAATCAGTCTTTGAAGAAAATATGAATGGAATGTACTTTTGATTCCACACTGTTGCCTGCTCTTTGAAACTTCGCCCTTCCTTCTTTCTGTTTTCAGCTATAAAACATGTATACAAAATGTTTTATGAGTTGATATTGGCACTTGGAGAAGCTGAACGTTGGCAACACGGATCGTGCACTGTTTAGTTTGGTGGCAGCAATCCCTCTGATAGATAATCCTTGACTTACAACAGTTGGTATCAATGCCTCAGTACAGATAGTCCTCAACTCACAACAACTTGCTTAGTGGTTATTCAAAGTTACAACGGCACTGAAAAACGTAACTTATGACCGTTTTTCACACTTAAGACAGTTGCAGCATCCCCATGGTCATGTGATCCAAATTCAGACGCTTGGCAACGGACTCATATTTATAACAGTTGCAGTGTCCAGGGGTCACGTGATCCCCTTTTGTGACAGTCAAAGTCAATGGGGGAAACCAAATTCGTAACAACCCTGTTGCTAACTTATCAACTGCAGTGATTCACAATGGTGGCAAGAAAGGCCGTATAGTGGAGCAAAGCTCACTTAACAAATGTCTCACTTAGCAACAGAAATTGTGTGCTTCATTATGCTCGTAAGTTGAGGACTACCCATACAGAGATAGGTTCAAAAACAGTGTGGGGGGGGGGAGTTTTTCTAGTGGTTAAGGCACTAGATGGTTAAGGGGGTGCTCACAGACATCCTGCCATAAAAAGAAGAAAAGGGAGAGGGTAAAAGAGGGAAAGATGAAAGGGCAATAAAGCTTAATAAATAATAGCATAAAAGCAATAAAAGCATAATAAAACAAACTGCATCACTGTTTGGTTTGGTGGCAGCAGAGCCTCAGATAGAAAGGCCATACAGAAAGTGGTAAGGACAGTGGAGAAGATCATAGGAAGCTCACTTCCCATTATTCAGGATGCTGCTTATAAGCGCTATTTGCTTAGAACATGAAGCTTCGTTGGAGACCCCATACACCCACTTCATGGTCTGTTTCTGTTGCTCCCCTCTGGGAGGAGGTTTCGAAGTGTTTCTAGCTGGACTTCCAGATTCTGTAACAGCTTTGTTCCTTATGCTATCCATCTGGTAAACCTGCAAGATTTGTTTCTCTCACCATGTACATTTAATACATCTGAACTAGACTGTGATGTTTCTCTGTGTCATATGTTTGTGTGTCTATGTGGGTATATGCACAATGGTTAACTTGTGAGAGCTGATGAAACAAAAGTTCATTTTAATGTATGCTAATTAGTGTAGATTTAAAGTGACAATAAAGTTGTTTATTCTCTTCTCTCCTCTCCTCTCCCCTCTTCTCCCCTAGCCTAGCCCAAGGGTCTTCAAACTTGGCAAGTTTAAGACTTGTGGACTTCAACTCCCAGAATTCCTGAGCTAACATGACTGGAGAAGGAATTCTGGGAGTTGAAGTCCACAAGTCTTAAAGCTGTCAAGTTTGAAGACCCCTGGCCTAGCCCATTCCCATTCCCAAATCCCAAATCCCAATTCCCAATTCCCAAATCAATTCCATTCCATTAGTCCTGTTCTGTTCTACTCTGCTCTGCTCTGCTCTGCTCTACTCTGCTCTGCTCTACTCTAGTCTACTCTAGCATTCAGCCAGTTATTTTGAGCAAGTAGTTGTAGCAATAGAGTGGTAAGACAAATGCTTGTGAATATACCCCTAGGTTGATGGAACAGATGGCATTTTTGTCTATCTGTGTACACAGATACTTAAGTCCATACATAAACCTATAGTAAATGCAATATATAAGTATATCCACCCACCCACAGACAACTGGGTACTTACATGTATGGTATTCAGCTTTGTTCGGGTATTTTCCCACGTCATTATAGTTGTGCTTTTAAAGTTGTAGCAACGTTTCGGCAGAATCTCATCTACCATCATCAGGCTTCTGTGTTGTGTTCGTCTGTGAGTTAGACTTTTACAGTTGTTTCAGTTTTAAATTTGGGGCTAGCCTACTGCTGTGCCAGAATGGTTTTTTCTTCATCCTGATTGGTTAGGAGTCTTGGTCTGTGTTTATTGGTCTTGGAGTTTGCTGTGTTCTGCTTGATTGGTGTTTCTAATATCTTCTGTCTGTTTTGTGGCTTTTTTGTGTCTTGATTGGTTGGCAACATTGTGTTCCTGTATTGGAGGCTTTTAGTGCAGCTTGGCTCTGAGTAAATGGACGGCTATCATTTGTTAGGAAGCTAGGTTTCATCTGGGTGCCTGGTTGGGGTGTGTTTGAGAATTATCAGAGAAGCCATAGAGATTGAAAAAAGACCTGAAAGCATGAATAGAAGAGATGATTCCACCAGACTGTCAATCATTTGGAAGCCTGCACTCACAAACAAAAAAATCTCCACACCACTAGCCAGGCAAACACCTGGGCACAAACAGATCCCCCCTGATATCTCCAGCTCAAACACACCCCAACCAGGCACCCAGATGAAACCTAGCTTCCTAACAAATGATAGCCATCCATTTACTCAGAGCCAAGCTGCACTAAAAGCCTCCAATACAGGAACACAATGTTGCCAACCAACCAAGACACAAAAAAAGCCACAAAACAGACAGAAGATATTAGAAACACCAATCAAGCAGAACACAGCAAACTCCAAGACCAATAAACACAGACCAAGACTCCCAACCAATCAGGATGAAGAAAAAACCATTCTGGCACAGCAGCAGGCTAGCCCCAAATTTAAAACTGAAACAACTGTAAAAGTCTGACTCACAGACGAACACAATACAGAAGCCTGATGATGGCAGATGAGATTCTGCCTAAACGTTGCTACAACTTGAAAAGCACAACTACAGTGACGTGGGAAAATATCCGAACAAAGCTGAATACCATACACACACACACACACACACACACACACACACACACACACACACACACTGACTTGTAGCAACAGGATATCACTTTTATGTTTCTCAATTTAACTTCTGACATCAATATATTTTCAGTGAGAATTACTAGAGCTGCTTCTCGGAGAGATAAAAAAGTTATCTCCAAAACAGTTAACATGTATAGGCAGGCCTTCTTCTCCTTAGATCAAAGGAATGTGAGAAAAGAAAACAAGACTTTTTCTTTTTAACTGCCTTGATTTGTCTATGTAGAGCCTAGACTTGCAGTTTGACTTCAGGTGTGTTTGAACAATGTTCAGGTTTGGGTTTCTTTGGTTCTTTTGGTATTCGATGATATTTGCCACCCACAAATTGGAAGTTGGACTGCCCTACAAAAGCAAGGGAGGGAGGAGAGGGGAGGAAGGAGGGAAAGAGTCTGGAAGGAAGGTATCAGCGTTCCAGCGAAAATCCATTCCTGTCAGTAACTCCAAGACACACGCCGTCTCAAAGTACTTTTATTAGAATAGTACCTGGCACATACTGGGGAAATCCGGAACTAAATCTCCCCATCTTCCCCACAAAGTCCCAAGCTACAACCCATCCCATTTTCCTTCATCACCAGATCACGTGCACAAATCCCAAAGTAAGTTCTAATTCTTTCTGTGCCACACTCTGTAACCTTGAATTATCAATATATTTTGTCCACTAAGAGGTACTCAATTAACATCACCCACTGCCACTTTCTTCAACTATGTGGCAGTGATGAATTCCATAGCTGACAGAAGGAGGGAAGGAGTCTGGAAGGAAGGAAGGAAGGAAGGAAGGAAGGAAGGAAGGAAGGAAGGAGTGAATCAGTAAGGAAGGAATCTAGCTATATGAATCAAAGGAAAGAAGGAAGGAAGGAATTAGTTATATAAAAGGAAGGAAAGAAAGAAGGAGTGAATTAATAAGGAAGGAATCTAGCTATATGAATTGAAGGTAAGAAGGAAGGAAGGAAGGAAGGGATCTAGCTATATGAATTGAAGGG